AAATAATCGACGTTAAATTAGGTACTTCTGTCGCCAACGTCCATACCACGTTGAAAACACCGGTTCTCGTCCGATCACCGAAGTTAAGCATCGTTGGGCGCGGTCAGTACTTGGATGGGTGACCGCCTGGGAACACCGCGTGATGTTGGCTTTTTGTTATTTTTTTTTTACTTTTAAATTAAATTCAATGAAAAACATTTTTTTTAACTGGAAACAATAATATTACTAATTGAATGTGTAACTTTATTTACAAATGTCCGTATACTAGAAATAGTTTCATGTTTTTAAATTTAAACAAACTAGCTGTTCCCGTGCGAATTCATCCGCATAAAATTATGAAAACTTTATTTTATTGTTTACGTGCAAATTATCAAATGCAAATGACATGACATGATGACAAACTATGGCAACCTTGCTTCCATGATGTTGGCAGCAACTTATGGTCTCTTTCTCATATTAGGGTTTTTATCCAAAATATTTACCCCCTAAGTTTAATAGCTTGAAAATATATAGCCTAAAGCGTGAGGTAAGTGTAGTGATTTTTATTTAAGAAAAGAATTATTCAATAATATGCTGTAATTGCTGACATCTTAGGCAACAAAGAAGTGTGTGTTTACGCTTTATTATAATAGTATAGATAGCTACTATACGAACATATAACCTTCTCTCTTTAAATTTTATCTGCACAGAATAAAATCATGGTATCATTAACCGAATATAATTACATTTAAAACACTAGTTTCAAACAAAAGTTCTCACGTTGGCCGAGAAGAATCGTTTTCATACTTTCAATTTTGATGAAATAATTCATTTAAGTTCGTAATGATGAAAACGTGACCAATCAATTAATTACATAACTGATCATAATTAGTACTTAACTGTAGTATATACTAAAATTATAAAAAAGAAAGATTTGTATTTGTGTATTTTTGTACGTATTAAAACACTCAAAGACTACTCGGCCGATTTCAAAAATTCTTTCAACATTAAAAAGCTACATTTTCAATGAGTAATATAGGCATGCATACAAAGTCGCGAGCAACAGCTAGTAAGTAATTTTTACGAGGTAAAATAAAAATAGAACTTTTGAAGACAAAGACCTATATCTTGGTAACATTATAATACTAAGAATAAATAAATAAAAAGAATTATTATTCACAGATTCACTAAAACATTTTTGTGTAAATTCTTGTCTTACAGTTATATTGCCGTTTCCAGAAATCTATAACTCATTGGTCTACCGTAATGGTTACATTACGCGTAATGTACGCTTAGATTAGCGTTATGTTGATAATAATTCAAATATAGAGGGTGTACAGACATCTAATGTGTTTATTAGCTCCTGCTTGCGAGTTAGAGTAAAAGTGTAAACTAGTCGGAAATACTAAAGAGAGAAGGCAACTTGTAGATTGTGTGTATGATTCCGGCGTTACTTTGGAATTTTTCAAATTTTTGAAATACAAATGTTTTTGTCAATAAATATTACCGCTAATATACAATGACAAAATATTATTTTAAAAATTCCCAATTAGTTTATGGTTTTGAGTTATAGCCAACATAAGTTAACAACATATAAGTTAACTCTTGAAAGGTATAGAAATTCCCGAATTTCGAAAATGTAGAAAATAAAATGACTTTGTAAATGTACCCTATTGTTGATAGCACCATTCGTAATTCCATAATTTATTGTACAATTGGATAAAAACTACAGTTTAAATCTAGTCATTAAACGACATTTCTTATTGGAAATGTTCGAATCTTTGTATTTACTTTTCCCTCATCATAATCACTCAAATGACTAGAAAACATTCAAACATAGACAAACACAAGGAAAGCCGTGACGACACATAAAACACAACTTATTACGCCGACCTAACAGCACTTGTAATCGAGTTACGGGACTTGTGGCACAGCAAGACGAATGCTTACTCGAAGACCTCGATCGAGTGGATGCAAGTTCGATTCCCAACATGGTGATTTTTTTTTCATTATAATGCAATTACAAATTTCTTTTACAAAAACTGCTGTAAAGTCAATATTGAGAGATCTGTGCATCCAGAGATTGTTTTTGTGGACATAAAAAAATAAAATTTTCTCAAAAAAACAATTCACTAAAAGTAACGAAACAATACCTTGAAAATAGTAAACTTCCCTTATTTGTAGCTGTTATGTCTAAATTTTACAATTATTATTACTTTGAAGTCGGTTTCAGTCAATGTAGATTCATTATTTAAACATTACAATACTTTCAATTGTCAATTGTTATGGTAAATATGTAGAAAGCCTTAAGTAGAAATATCACTGCATATCTCGGCTGACACCGACATCAAAATAACAATAATTGTACAATATAGACATAACAGCTACAATAAGGGATCGGATGTCCATGAAATTAGGCACAGGTTTAGAGCATAGTCTGGAAGAACACATAGGCTACTTTTTATCCCGGGAATAGTTACGGTTCCCGTGGGATT